TGTTAAAGGTGTAAAATATAGGAAATTTGGGATTTTAAAGGGATAAAATATGGGATTTCCAGCAATGGAATGGGGTTGGATCATCCCTGAGAGCAGCTAAATATGGATTGGTAAATACAGATATTAAAGGTGGAAAGTGGAAAAAGATGGAATGTTAAAGGTGTAAAATATAGGAAATCTGGGATTTTAAAGGGATAAAAGATGGGATTTCGTAAATACAGATATTAAAGGTGTAAAATATAGGAAATTTGGGATTTTAAAGGGATAAAATATGGGATTTCCAGCACTGGAATGGGGTTGGATAATCCCTGACAGCAGCTAAATATGTATTGGTAAATACAGATATTAAAGGTGTAAAATATAGGAAATTTGGGATTTTAAAAGGATAAAATATGGGATTTCGTAAATACAGATATTAAAGGTGGAAAATGTAGGTTGTGAAGTGGAAAAAGATGGAATGTTAAAGGTGTAAAATACAGGAAATTTGGGATTTTAAAGGGATAAAATATGGGATTTCCAGCAATGGAATGGGGTTGGATCATCCCTGAGAGCAGCTAAATATGGATTGGTAAATACAGATATTAAAGGTGGAAAATACGGGATGTGAAGTGGAAAAAAATGAATGTTAAAGGTGTAAAATATAGGAAATTTGGGATATTAAAGGGATAAAATACGGGATTTCGTAAATACAGATATTAAAGGTGGAAAATATATGTTGTGAAGTGGAAAAAGATGGAATGTTAAAGGTGTAAAATATAGGAAATTTGGGATATTAAAGGGATAAAATATGGGATTTCCAGCAATGGAATGGGGTTGGATCATCCCTGAGAGCAGCTAAATATGGATTGGTAAATAAAGATATTAAAGGTGGAAAATAGGGGATGTGAAAAGTGGAAAAAGATGGAATGTTAAAGGTGTAAAATATAGGAAATTTGGGATATTAAAGGGATAAAATACGGGATTTCGTAAATACAGATATTAAAGGTGGAAAATATATGTTGTGAAGTGGAAAAAGATGGAATGTTAAAGGTGTAAAATATAGGAAATCTGGGATTTTAAAGGGATAAAAGATGGGATTTCCAGCAATGGAATGGGGTTGGATCATCCCTGAGAGCAGCTAAATACGGATTGGTAAACAAAGATATTAAAGGTGGAAAATAGGGGATGTGAAAAGTGGAAAAAGATGGAATGTTAAAGGTGTAAAATATAGGAAATTTTGGATTTTAAAGGGATAAAATATGGGATTTCGTAAATACAGATATTAAAGGTGTAAAATATAGGAAATTTGGGATTTTAAAGGGATAAAATATGGGATTTCCAGCACTGGAATGGGGTTGGATCATCCCTGAGAGCTGCTAAATACGGATTGGTAAATACAGATATTAAAGGTGTAAAATATAGGAAATTTGGGATATTAAAGGGATAAAATATGGAATTTAGTAAATACAGATATTAAAGGTGGAAAATACAGGTTGTGAAGTGGAAAAAGATGGAATGTTAAAGGTGTAAAATACAGGAAATTTGGGATTTTAAAGGGATAAAATATGGGATTTCCAGCACTGGGGTTGGATCATCCCTGACAGCAGCTAAATATGGATTGGTAAATACAGATATTAAAGGTGGAAAGTGGAAAAAGATGGAATGTTAAAGGTGTAAAATATAGGAAATCTGGGATTTTAAAGGGATAAAAGATGGGATTTCGTAAATACAGATATTAAAGGTGTAAAATATAGGAAATTTGGGATTTTAAAGGGATAAAATATGGGATTTCCAGCAATGGAATGGGGTTGGATCATCCCTGACAGCAGCTAAATATGTATTGGTAAATACAGATATTAAAGGTGTAAAATATAGGAAATTTGGGATATTAAAGGGATAAAAGATGGGATTTCGTAAATACAGATATTAAAGGTGTAAAATATAGGAAATTTGGGATTTTAAAGGGATAAAATATGGGATTTCGAAAATACAGATATTAAAGGTGGAAAATAGGGGATGTGAAGTGGAAAAAGATGGAATGTTAAAGGTGTAAAATACAGGAAATTTGGGATTTTAAAGGGATAAAATATGGGATTTCCAGCACTGGAATGGGGTTGGATAATCCCTGAGAGCAGCTAAATATGGATTGGTAAATATAGATATTAAAGATGGAAAATATAGGAAATTTTGAATTTTAAAGGGATAAAATATGGCATTTCGTAAATACAGATATTAAAGGTGGAAAATACGAGGTTGTGAAGTGGAAAAAGATGGAATGTTAAAGGTGTAAAATACAGGAAATTTGGGATTTTAAAGGGATAAAATATGGGATTTCCAGCACTGGGGTTGGATCATCCCTGACAGCAGCTAAATGTGGATTGGTAAATACAGATATTAAAGGTGGAAAATACAGGAAATTTGGGATTTTAAAAGGATAAAATATGGGATTTCGTAAATACAGATATTAAAGGTGGAAAGTGGAAAAAGATGGAATGTTAAAGGTGTAAAATATAGGAAATTTGGGATTTTAAAGGGATAAAATATGGGATTTCCAGCACTGGAATGGGGTTGGATAATCCCTGAGAGCAGCTAAATATGGATTGGTAAATACAGATATTAAAGGTGGAAAATACAGGTTGTGAAGTGGAAAAAAATGAATGTTAAAGGTGTAAAATATAGGAAATTTGGGATTTTAAAGGGATAAAATATGGGATTTCGTAAATACAGATATTAAAGGTGTAAAATATAGGAAATTTTGGATTTTAAAGGGATAAAATATGGGATTTCCAGCACTGGAATGGGGTTGGATAATCCCTGAGAGCAGCTAAATATGGATTGGTAAATACAGATATTAAAGGTGGAAAATACGGGTTGTGAAGTGGAAAAAAATGAATGTTAAAGGTGTAAAATATAGGAAATTTTGGATTTTAAAGGGATAAAATATGGGATTTCCAGCACTGGGGTTGGATCATCCCTGAGAGCAGCTTTGGGAACCAAACCAGGTAAAATTCCCCTATTAAAATACCAAATTTTGGGATACTTTGTGAAAAGATCTCTGGCACATGCCATGGGAATTATTAGGGAAAAGGAAAATAAAATAAAGTGGATTTTGTCCCGTACCTTCCCGGGAGAGGACGGTGAAGCTGACCCCGGGATCGCTGAGGATTTTGTCCCGTACCTTCCCGGGAGAGGACGGTGAAGCTGACCCCGGGATCGCTGAGTTTTACGAAGGGCACGGATCCGTCCTCCAGCCCTTTCCTGGCCAGCAGGATGTTCTTGGCACACACATTCCCATGGAGCAGGTTTTTATCCTCCTGGGAAAAGCAGAAAAAAGGGGAAAATTATTGGGAAATCAAAAAAAAAATTTAAAAAAAAAAATCAGTTGTGGTTTATTTGTTGTTAATGTTTTACTGTTTTCTGGGAATTAATTTTTTAATAATAAATATTTTAATAATAAATTTCCTAATAATAAATATTTAATAATAAACATCCCAAGAATAAATTTAATAATAATAAATTTCTAATAATAAATATTCCAATAATAAATTTCCTAATAATAAATTTTCTAATAATAAACATCCCAAGAATAAATATCTAATAATAAATATCCCAATAATAAATTTCCTAATAATAAATATCTAATAATAAATATCCCAAGAATAAATTTCCTAATAATAAATTTCTAATAATAAATATTCCAATAATAAATTTCCTTATAATAAATTTTCTAATAATAAACATCCCAAGAATAAATATCTAATAATAAATATCCCAATAATAAATTTCCTAATAATAAATATCTAATAATAAACATCCCAAGAATAAATTTCATAATAATAAATTTCTAATAATAAATCTTTCAATAATAAATTTCCTAATAATAAATTTTCTAATAATAAACATCCCAAGAATAAATATCTAATAATAAATATCCCAATAATAAATTTCCTAATAATAAATATCTAATAATAAATATCCCAAGAATAAATTTCCTAATAATAAATTTCTAATAATAAATATTCCAATAATAAATTTCCTAATAATAAATTTTCTAATAATAAACATCCCAAGAATAAATATCTAATAATAAATATCCCAATAATAAATTTCCTAATAATAAATATCTAATAATAAATATCCCAAGAATAAATTTCCTAATAATAAATTTCTAATAATAAATATCCCAAGAATAAATTTCCTAATAATAAATTTCTAATAATAAATATTCCAATAATAAATTTCCTAATAATAAATTTTCTAATAACAAACATCCCAATAATAAATCTCCTAATAATAAATTTTCTAATAATAAATCTAATATCAAATCTCCCAATAATAAAAATTCTAATAATAAATCTCCCAATAATAAGAGAATAGCAGGAAAAAAAAAAATCCTGGAAAAAAGAAATATTAGGGAAAAATCCCAACAATGCCACAGGGGCATAAAATAAGATAATAATTTATATATATATAAGTATATAATAACATATAATTATATATATAATAATCTAATATATATTTGTATACATATATATAATATATATTTATATACATATAAATATACATATATTTATTATGTTATATTATTATATAACATATATAATAATATATATAATAATATATATTTATATACATATATATAATATATATTTATATACATAAAAATATACATATAAATATACATATAAATATACATATATTTATTATGTTACATTATTATATAACATATATATAATTATATATATAATAATAGAATATATATTTATATACATATATATAATATATATTTATATACATATAAATATACATATATTTATTATGTTATATTATTATACATATATATAATATATATTTATATACATATAAATATACATATATTTATTATGTTATATTATTATATAACATATATATAATTATATATATAATAATAGAATATATATTTATATACATATATATATTTATATACATATAAATATACATATATTTATTATGTTATATTATTATAAAACATATATATAATTATAAATTTAATAATATAATATATATTTATATACATATATATAATATATATTTATGTACATATAAATATACATATATTTATTATGTTATATAACATATATATAATTATATATATAATAATATAATATATATTTTTATGCATATATATATTTATATACACATAAATATACATATAAATATACATATATTTATTATGTTACATTATTATATAACATATATATAATTATATATATAGTAATATAATATATATTTATATAGTAATATTATATATATTTATATACATATACATATAAATATACATATATTTATTATATTTTATTATATTATTATATAACATAATAAATATACATAATTTATATGTATACTAATATATAATGATTTATAATTTATATTGCAACATATATATTATTTATAATTTAATAACAAATGAATAAATAGGGAAAAATAAAATTAAAAGCTGCAATTCCAGGCTGGAATTTTCACCTCCCTCTCTGGGAATTTTGCTCCAAAAAATAAAAAAAAAGGGAATAAAGGTGATTTTCCAACCTCACGCTCAGAACCCCATCACTCATCCCTCGCTTTTCCCACCTCCAAAACAAACCCAGGAATTCGGGAAAGATCCCGAAATCTCCGTTTATCCCCGGAGAAACCGCCGGGAATGTTCCCAGCTGGAATTACCAGGTAGCTCAAGGCGCTCCCCAGCTGTTTGGCCACGGTGATTTTCCAGCCCACGGAGATCCTGCCCTTCTCCTTGCGGAGCAGCACGTCCAGCGGCCCGTGCTCCACAAACTCCTCCACCATGATGTCTGAGGGGTTGGGAAAACCGGGATAATCCGCCGGGAATTGTTGGTTTGTTTTTTGGGGAGGGAAAAGGAAGGGGGGGATGTGGTGGGGGACTCACTCTCGGAGCCGCGGACGCAGACGCCGTGCACGAAGGCCAGGTGGACGTGGGACACCTGGGACATCAGGCTGGCGCTCTCGAAGAACGCCTGCGGGACAGCGGGAATGGCATCCCGGGATTCCCCAGGGTATCCCGGGATTCCCGAGGGATTCCAGGGCCAGGGGAATCCCGGGATTCCCCAGGGTATCCCGGGATTCCAGAGGGATTCCCCAGGGCATACCGGAATTCCCCAGGGTATCCCAGTGCCAAGGGGATTCCCCAGGGTATCCCAGGATTCCCGAGGGATTCCAGGGCCAGGGGAATCCCGGGATTTCCTGGGGCATCCCGGGATTCCCCAGGGTATCCCAGGATTCCCGAGGGATTCCAGGGCCAGGGGAATCCCGGGATTCCCCAGGGTATCAGTGCCAAGGGTCCCCAGGGCATCCGGGATTCCAGAGGGATTCCAGTGCCAAGGGCATCCCGGGATTCCCCAGGGCATCCCAGGATTCCAGAGGGATTCCAGGGCCAGGGGCATCCCAGGATTCCCCAGGGCATCCCAGAATTCCCCAGGGTATCCCGGGATTCCAGAGGGGATTCCAGGGCCAGGGGCATCCCGGGATTCCCCAGGGCATCCCAGGATTCCCGAGGGGATTCCAGGGCCAGGGGAATCCCGGGATTCCCCAGGGCATTTTGGGGATTCCCCAGGGCATTAAGGGAATCCCGGGATTCCCGATGGCATTCCAGGGATTCCCCAGGGATTCCAGGGTCAGAGGCATCCCGGAATTCCCAAGGGCATCCAGGGATTCCCCAGGAATTCCCCAGGGATTCCAGGGCCAGGGGCATTCCAGGGATTCCCCAGGGCAGGGCCAAGGGAATCCCGGGATTCCCCAGGGATTCCAGGGCCAGAGGCATTCCAGGGATTCCTGAGGGCATTCCCAGCTCCGGAGAGCCCCATTCCAGCCCTCCTGGATCCAAATTCCAGCCCCCAGAGCCTCATTCCAACCCCTGGAGCCAAATTCCAGCCCTTCTGGAGCCAAATTCCAGCCCCTGGGACCTAATTCCAACCCCTGGAGCCTCATCCCAGCCCTCCTGGAGCCAAATTCCAGCCCCTGGATCCTCATCCCAGCCCTCCTGGAGCCAAATTCCAGCCCCTAAATCCTCATCCCAGCCCTTCTGGAGCCAAATTCCAGCCCCTGGATCCTCATCCCAGCCCTTTCGGAGCCGAACTCCGCCTCTGGATCCCCCTCCCGGATCCCTGGGATCCCATTCCCGGGGCTCACCAGGGCGATGTCCCTGTGGCTGGGATCCAGCACTTTGAGCACCACCCGCATCTCCCGCCCGTTGTTGTTGTTGTTCTGCTCCGCGGAAAAATCCTCCTCGTCGTTCCCGGAATTCCCGCAGACGCTCAGGATCCCCTCGTAGATGTTGGTCCGGGTGCCCTGGCCCAGGTGGGAGCGCTGGGAAAACCGGGAAAAGCGGCGGCCGTTGGATGCGGGAAGGTGGGAATTCTCACCCGGATTCCTCCGTGGATGGATGCCGGGAAGGAGGAGGGAAAATGCCGGGAAAGCAGAGTGGATCCCTCTAACTCTCTTAATGAATCCCGGGAATCTGAGCAGTGAAAATCCCGGGAATCTGAGCAGTGAAAATCCCGGGAATCTGAGCAGATTCCTCCAGCTTCCTTAATGAATCCCAGGAATCTGAGCAGCGGGAATCCCGGGAATCTGAGCAGCGGGAATCCCGGGAATCAGAGCAGCGGGAATCCCGGGAATCAGAGCAGCGGGAATCCCGGGAATCTGAGCAGTGAAAATCCTGGGAATCAGAGCAGTGAAAATCCCGGGAATCAGAGCAGCAGGAATCCCGGGAATCAGAGCAGTGAAAATCCCGGGAATCAGAGCAGATTCCTCCAGCTTCCTTAATGAATCCCAGGAATCTGAGCAGCGGGAATCCTGGGAATCAGAGCAGATTCCTCCAGCTTCCTTAATGAATCCCAGGAATCTGAGCAGCGGGAATCCTGGGAATCAGAGCAGCGGGAATCCCAGGAATCAGAGCAGTGAAAATCCTGGGAATCTGAGCAGTGAAAATCCCGGGAATCAGAGCAGCGGGAATCCCGGGAATCTGAGCAGCGGGAATCCCGGGAATCAGAGCAGCGGGAATCCTGGGAATCAGAGCAGCGGGAATCCCGGGAATCAGAGCAGCGGGAATCCCGGGAATCAGAGCAGCGGGAATCCTGGGAATCAGAGCAGCGGGAATCCCGGGAATCAGGAGCAGCGGGAATCCCGGGAATCAGAGCAGTGAAAATCCCGGGAATCAGAGCAGATTCCTCCAGCTTCCTTAATGAATCCCAGGAATCTGAGTAGCGGGAATCCCGGGAATCAGAGCAGTGAAAATCCCGGGAATCTGAGCAGTGAAAATCCCGGGAATCTGAGCAGCGAAAATCCCGGGAATCTGAGCAGCGGGAATCCCGGGAATCTGAGCAGTGAAAATCCCGGGAATCAGAGCAGATTCCTCCAGCTTCCTTAATGAATCCCAGGAATCTGAGCAGCGGGAATCCTGGGAATCAGAGCAGATTCCTCCAGCTTCCTTAATGAATCCCAGGAATCTGAGCAGCGGGAATCCTGGGAATCTGAGCAGTGGGAATCCTGGGAATCAGAGCAGCGGGAATCCCAGGAATCTGAGCAGCGGGAATCCCGGGAATCAGAGCAGTGGGAATCCTGGGAATCTGAGCAGTGAAAATCCCGGGAATCAGGAGCAGTGAAAATCCCGGGAATCAGCCGCACCTGGACGATCTCGTTCTTGCGGATCTGGTGGAAGCTGAGCTGGGTGAGGTTCAGGATCTGCTTCCCCTCCTCCTTCGCCCTCCTCACGATCAGCAGGTCCGAGATCTCTGCGGGAAAAGCGGGAATGAGCTCCGGGATCCTCCCGCTCCCGATCCATCGGGATATTCCCGTTCCTACCTCCCGGCTTGGGCGGGCAGCACCTCTTCACCGTGAAGTTTTCCTGCCCGGATTTGAGGGTGCAACCCTTGAGAACATCCAGGAGTTCCCGCAGGCTCGGGAATTCCCGATCCCAACCCTCCAGCACGAAGGAATCTCCTTTCCTCTGGATCCGGAACTGCCGGTACTTGAAGGCTCCCGGCGTTCCGGGAGCCTGGAAAAGGCGAGGTAGGAGTTGAAGCCCCGGGGTGGTTCCGGGAGCCGGCGAATCCCGGGAATGGCGTGCCGGGAATGGCGGCCGCACCTGCTGGTGGCTCCGCTTGAGCACGGAGAGGATGATCCGGTTGAAATCCAGGACGCTCCAGCGGAGGATGTAGAGCCCTTCCTCCGGCTCTTCCCGACGGAGCTTGGCAAAAACAAAATCCTCACTGGGAAAGGGAGGGAAGGGAGGGATTGGGATGAGCCCCGGGACAGGGAAATATTTGGGATAAACCCTGGGAAAAGGAATTCTTTGGGATAAACCCTGGGAAAAGGAATTATTTGGGATGAGCCCCGGGACAGGGAATTATTTGGGATAAACCCCAGGACAGGGAGGAGCTCCAGGACAAGGAATTATTTGGGATAAACCCCAGACCAGGGAATTATTTGGGATAAACCCTGGGAAAAGGAATTATTTGGGAAAAGGAATTATTTGGGATAAACCCTAGGACAGGGAGGAGCTCCTGATGAGCCCCGGGACAGGGAATTATTTGGGATAAACCCTGGGAAAAGGAATTATTCGGGAAAAGGAATTAATTGGGATAAACCCCAGGACAGGGAGGAGCTCCAGGACAATGAATTATTTGGGATAAACCCCAGGCCAGGGAATTATTTGGGACAAACCCCAATCCATGGAATTATATGGAATAAACCCCAGACCATGGAATTCTTTGGGACAAACCCCAGACCACGGAATTCTTTGGGACAAACCCCCATCCATGGAATTCTTTGGGACAAACCCCAATCCATGGAATTCACTGGGACAAACCCCAATCCATGGAATTCATTGGGACAAACCCCAGACCACGGAATTCTTTGGGACAAACCCCAATCCATGGAATTCTCTGGGACAAACCCCAATTCAGGGAATTCTTTGGGACAAACCCCCATCCATGAAATTCTTTGGGACAAACCCCAATCCATGGAATTCTTTGGGACAAACCCCAATCCATGGAATTCTTTGGGACAAACCCCAATCCAGGGAATTATTTGGGACAAACCCCCATCCATGGAATTATATGGAATAAACCCCAATCCACGGAATTCATTGGGACAAACCCCAATCCATGGAATTCTTTGGGACAAACCCAAATCCATGAAATTCTTTGGGACAAACCCCAATCCATGGAATTCTTTGGGACAAACCCCAATCCATGAAATTCTCTGGGACAAACCCCAGACCACGGAATTCTTTGGGACAAACCCCAATCCACGGAATTCTCTGGGACAAACCCCCATCCAGGGAATTCTCTGGGACAAACCCCAATCCACGGAATTCTTTGGGACAAACCCCCATCCACGGAATTCTTCGGGATGATCCCGGGCGCACTCACTGCATGGGCCCGTGGATGCCGTTGTGGATGCTGAGGAGGAGGCGCGGCGGCGCCACGTCGTGGCACAGGTAATGGCTGGAGTCGGCCGTCAGTCGGAAATAACCGTCCAGCAGAGCCACCAGCGCCAGCGCGCTGCCGCGGCACGGGAGCAGCGCCTCCTGCGCGGGGACACGCGGCGGAGATCAGAAACCCTTCCGGAAACGCACGGGGAACGTTCCAGAAATGCTCAGAGAACACTCAGGGAACGTTCCAGAAACAGTCAGAGAACAATTGGGGAACACCCCAGAAACACTCGGGGAACAGTCAGAGAACATTCCAGAAATGCTCAGAGAACACTCAGGGAACGTTCCAGAAACAGTCAGAGAACAATTGGGGAACACTCCAGAAACACTCGGGAAACAGTCGGAGAACATTCCAGAAACAGTCAGAGAACAATTGGGGAACACCCCAGAAACACTCGGGGCACAGTCGGAGAACACCCCAGAAACACTTGGGGAACAGTCGGAGAACACCCCAGAAACACTCGGGGAACAGTCGGAGAACATTCCAGAAACAGTCAGAGAACAATTGGGGAACACTCCAGAAACACTCGGGGAACAGTCAGAGAACATTCCAGAAACACTTGGGGAACAGTCAGAGAACACCCCAGAAACACTCGGGGAACACTCGGGGAACAGTCAGAGAACATTCCAGAAACACTCGGGGAACAGTCAGAGAACATTCCAGAAACACTCGGGGAACAGTCAGAGAACATTCCAGAAACAGTCAGAGAACAACTGGGGAACACCCCAGAAACACTCGGGGAACAATTGGAGAACATTCCAGAAACACTTGGGGAACAGTCGGAGAACATTCCAGAAACACTCAGGGAACAGTCGGAGAACAGTCGGAGAACACTCCAGAAACACTCGGGAAACAGTCGGAGAACACCCGGAGAACATTCCAGAAACACTCGGGGAACAGTCGGACAACTCAGAGGAATGGAATCATCCAAAGTTTTCCCCATTTTCCCCATTTTTTTCCCATTTTTTCTCCTTTTTCCCCCATTTTTCCCCCTTTTTTTCCCCTCATGTTTTCCCCACTTTTTTCCCCATTTTTCCCCCATTTCTTTCCCCATTTTTCCCCATTTTTCCCCATGTTTTCCCCTCATATTTTCCCCTTTTTTCCCCCAATTTTCCCCATTTTTTCCCCCTTTTTTCCCCATTTTCCCCCCTTTTTTTCCCATTTTTCCCCCATTTCTTCCCCCTATTTTCCCCCCATTTTTCCCCATTTTTCCCCTCATGTTTCCCCATTTTTCCCCACGTTTTCCCCATGTTTTCCCCCACTTTTCCCCATTTTTCCCCATTTTTTCCCCCACGTTTTCCCCATTTCCTTCCCCATTTTTCCCCCAATTTTTCCCCATTTTTTCCCCTCATATTTTCCCCTTTTTCCCCCATTTTTCCCCCAATTTCCCCCATTTTTCCCCATTTTCCCCCAATTTTCCCCATTTTTCCCCCATTTCTTTCCCCATTTCTTTCCCCATTTTTCCCCCCATTTTTTCCCCATTTTCCCCCCATTTTTTCCCATTTTCCCCCTTTTTTTCCCCATTTTTCCCCCATTTTTCCCTATTTTTCCCCCCACTTTTCCCATCTCCACCCCGGGAATCCCTCCCCACTCACCAGGCACTCGTTATCCTGCCGATGGATGCTGACCCTGGAATCCTTCACCACCACGTGCGTGATTTCCCGGAAATCGCAGAACCGCCTCCAGCCGGGATCGCTCCGCTCTTCCTCTTCCTCCTCCTCCTCCTCCTTCCTCCTGGATTTCCTCCCGAAATATCCGCGCCGGGAAAAGTTTTCCGCGCTCTGCCGTGGGGAGAATTCCAGGTTTGGGGGTTTTGTGGTTTTTTTTTTTAACCCTGGGTTTGGGGTGGGAATGTTGGGAATGGGTCTGGGTAAACTGAGGAAAAAATGGGAAAGGAAGGGAGGAGCGTCCCGAATCCAGCAGAGATGGAGGGAAAAGATGGGATTGGGGTGGGGATGGAGCATTCCAAAATCAAGGGAAAATTCAGGATTTGGGGCGGGAACATCTCATCCAAAATCAAGGAAAAATTCAGGATTTGGGGCGGGAACATCTCATCCAAAATCAAGGGAAAATTCAGGATTTGGGGCGGGAATGGCTCATCCAAAATCAAGGAAAAATCCCGGATTTGGGGCAGGAATGGCCCATCCCAAACTCATCCCAAACCAAGGAAAAATCCAGGATTTGGAGTGGGAACATCTCATCCAAAATCAAGGGAAAATTCAGGATTTGGGGTGGGAATGGCTCATCCCAAACCAAGGAAAAATCCCGGATTTGGAGCGGGAATGGCTCATCCAAAATCAAGGAAAAATCCAGGATTTGGAGTGGGAACGGCTCATCCAAACCAAGGAAAAATTCAGGATTTGGGGCGGGAATGGCTCATCCCAAACCAAGGAAAAATCCAGGATTTGGGGCAGGAATGGCTCATCCAAAATCAAGGAAAAATCCAGGATTTGNAGGGAAATATTTGGGGTAAACCCTGGGAAAAGGAATTATTTGGGATAAACCCTGGGAAAAGGAATTATTTGGGATAAACCCTGGGAAAAGGAATTATTTGGGATAAACCCTGGGAAAAGGAATTATTTGGGATAAACCCTGGGAAAAGGAATTATTTGCGATGAGCCTCGGGACAGGGAATTATTTGGGATAAACCCCAGGCCAGGGAATTATTTGGGATAAACCCCAATCCATGGAATTCTCTGGGACAAACCCCAATCCATGGAATTCTCTGGGACAAACCCCAATCCATGGAATTATATGGAATAAACCCCAATCCACGGAATTCTTTGGGACAAACCCCAATCCACGGAATTCTTTGGGACAAACCCCAGACCACGGAATTCTTTGGGACAAACCCCAATCCACGGAATTCTTTGGGACAAACCCCAATCCACGGAATTCTTTGGGACAAACCCCCATCCAGGGAATTCTCTGGGACAAACCCCCATCCACGGAATTCTTTGGGACAAACCCTAATCCATGGAATTCTTTGGGATGAGCCCTGAGGTATGGATTGGAATGAACCCCAGGCCATGGAATTCTTTGGGACAAACCCCAATCCATGAAATTCTTTGGGACAAACCCCAGACCACGGAATTCTCTGGGACAAACCCAAATCCACGGAATTCTCTGGGTCAAACCCCCATCCACGGAATTCTCTGGGTCAAATCCCCAATCCATGGAATTCTTTGGGACAAACCCCCATCCAGGGAATTCTTCGGGATGACCCCGGGCGCACTCACTGCATGGGCCCGTGGATGCCGTTGTGGATGCTGAGGAGCAGGCGCGGCGGCGCCACGTCGTGGCACAGGTAATGGCTGGAGTCGGCCGTCAGTCGGAAATAACCGTCCAGCAGAGCCACCAGCGCCAGCGCGCTGCCGCGGCACGGGAGCAGCGCCTCCTGCGCGGGGACACGCGGCGGAGATCAGAAACCCTTCCGGAAACGCGCGGGGAACGTTCCAGAAATGCTCAGAGAACACTCAGGGAACGTTCCAGAAACAGTCAGAGAACAATTGGGGAACACTCCAGAAACACTCGGGGAACAGTCGGAGAACATTCCAGAAACACTCGGGGAACAGTCGGAGAACACCCCAGAACATTCCAGAAACACTCGGGGAACAGTCGGACAACTCAGAGGAATGGAATCATCCAAAGTTTTCCCCATTTTCCCCATTTTTTTCCCATTTTTTCTCCTTTTTCCCCCATTTTTCCCCCTTTTTTTCCCCTCATGTTTTCCCCACTTTTTTCCCCATTTTTCCCCCATTTCTTTCCCCATTTTTCCCCCAATTTTCCCCATTTTTTCCCCCTTTTTTCCCCTTTTTTCCCCCAATTTTCCCCATTTTTTCCCCCTTTTTTCCCCATTTTCCCCCCTTTTTTTCCCATTTTTCCCCCATTTCTTCCCCCTATTTTCCCCCCATTTTTCCCCATTTTTCCCCTCATGTTTCCCCATTTTTCCCCACGTTTTCCCCATGTTTTCCCCCACTTTTCCCCATTTTTCCCCATTTTTTCCCCCACGTTTTCCCCATTTCCTTCCCCATTTTTCCCCCAATTTTTCCCCATTTTTTCCCCTCATATTTTCCCCTTTTTCCCCCATTTTTCCCCCAATTTCCCCCATTTTTCCCCATTTTCCCCCAATTTTCCCCATTTTTCCCCCATTTTTTCCCCCATTTTTTCCCCATTTTCCCCCCATTTTTTCCCCATTTTCCCCCCATTTTTTCCCATTTTCCCCCTTTTTTTCCCCATTTTTCCCCCATTTTTCCCTATTTTTCCCCCCACTTTTCCCATCTCCACCCCGGGAATCCCTCCCCACTCACCAGGCACTCGTTATCCTGCCGATGGATGCTGACCCTGGAATCCTTCACCACCACGTGCGTGATTTCCCGGAAATCGCAGAACCGCCTCCAGCCGGGATCGCTCCGCTCTTCCTCTTCCTCCTCCTCCTCCTCCTTCCTCCTGGATTTCCTCCCGAAATATCCGCGCCGGGAAAAGTTTTCCGCGCTCTGCCGTGGGGAGAATTCCAGGTTTGGGGGTTTTGTGGTTTTTTTTTTTAACCCTGGGTTTGGGGTGGGAATGTTGGGAATGGGTCTGGGTAAACTGAGGAAAAAATGGGAAAGGAAGGGAGGAGCGTCCCGAATCCAGCAGAGATGGAGGGAAAAGATGGGATTGGGGTGGGGATGGAGCATTCCAAAATCAAGGGAAAATTCAGGATTTGGGGCGGGAACATCTCATCCAAAATCAAGGAAAAATTCAGGATTTGGGGCGGGAACATCTCATCCAAAATCAAGGGAAAATTCAGGATTTGGGGCGGGAATGGCTCATCCAAAATCAAGGGAAAATTCAGGATTTGGGGCGGGAACATCTCATCCAGAATCAAGGGAAAATTCAGGATTTGGGGCAGGAATGGCTCATCCAAAACCAAGGAAAAATCCCGGATTTGGGGCAGGAATGGCTCATCCAAAATCAAGGGAAAATTCAGGATTTGGGGCGGGAATGGCTCATCCCAAACTCATCCCAAAATCAAGGAAAAATCCAGGATTTGGGGCGGGAATGGCTCATCCCAAACCAAGGAAAAATCCAGGATTTGGGGCAGGAATGGCTCATCCAAAATCAAGGAAAAATCCAGGATTTGGGGCTGAAACATCCCATCCCAACCCAAGAAAAAAATGGGATTTTCGGCACAAACATCCCAAGAGAAAAATGGGATTTTTGGCACATTCCAACCCAAGAAAAAAATGGGATTTTTGGCACATTTCAACCCAAGAAAAAAATGGGATTTTTGGCACAAACATCCCATTCCAACCCAAGAAAAAAATGGGATTTTGGGCACAAACATCCCAAGAAAAAAATGGGATTTTTGGCACATCCCAACCCCCAAAAAATGGGATTTTCAGCACAAACATCCCAACCCAAAAAAAATGGGATTTTGGGCACAAACATCCGATTCCAACCCAAGAAAAAAATGGGATTTTTGGCACATCCCAACCCCCCAAAAAATGGGATTTTCGGCACAAACATCCCAAGAAAAAAATGGGATTTTGGGCACAAACATCCCAAGAAAAAAATGGGATTTTTGGCACATTCCAACCCAAGAAAAAAATGGGATTTTTGGCACATCCCAACCCCCAGAAAAATGGGATTTTCAGCACAAACATCCCAAAAAAAAATGGGATTTTTGGCACATCCCAACCCCCAAAAAACGGGATTTTCGGCACAAACATCCCAAGAAAAAATGGGATTTTCGGCACAAACATCCCATCCCAACCCAAGAAAAAAAACGGGATTTTTGGCACATTCTAACCCAAGAAAAAAATGGGATTTTTGGCACAAACATCTGATCCCAAACCAAGAAAAAACCGGGATTTTTGGCACATCCCAACCCAAGAAAAAAATGGGATTTTTGGCACAAACATTCCATCCCAACCCAAGAAAAAAAATGGGATTTTTGGCACACTCCAACTCAAGAAAAACCGGGATTTTTGGCACATTCCAACCCAAGAAAAAAATGGGATTTTTGGCACATCCCAACCCCCAAAAAATGGGATTTTCAGCACAAACATCCCAAGAAAAAAATGGGATTTTGGGCACAAACATCTGATTCCAACCCAAGAAAAAAAATGGGATTTTTGGCACATTCTAACCCCCCAAAAAAATGGGATTTTTAGCATAAACATCCCAAGAAAAAATGGGATTTTCGGCACAAACATCCCATCCCAAACCAAGAAAAAACTGGGATTTTCGGCACAAACATCCCATCCCAAACCAAGAAAAAAATGGGATTTTTGGCACAAACATCCCAAGAAAAAAATGGGATTTTTGGCACAATCATCCCATCCCAACCCCCAAAAAAATGGGATTTTTGGCACACTCCAACCCAAGAAAAAAATGGGATTTTCGGCACAAACATCCCAAGAAAAAAATGGGATTTTTGGCACAAACATCCCAAGAAAAAAATGGGATTTTTGGCACATTCCAACCCCCAAAAAACGGGATTTTTAGCATAAACATCCCAAGAAAAAAATGGGATTTTTGGCACATCCCAACCCAAGAAAAAAATGGGATTTTTGGCACAAACATCCCATCCCAACCCAAGGAAAAAAATGGGATTTTTGGCACACTCCAACTCAAGAAAAACCGGGATTTTTGGCACATTCCAACCCAAGAAAAAAATGGGATTTTTGGCACAAACATCCCAACCCCCAAAAAATGGGATTTTCAGCACAAACATCCCAAGAAAAAAATGGGATTTTGGGCACAAACATCTGATTCCAACCCAAGAAAAAAAATGGGATTTTTGGCACATTCTAACCCCCCAAAAAAATGGGATTTTTAGCATAAACATCCCAAGAAAAAATGGGATTTTCGGCACAAACATCCCATCCCAACCCCTAAAAAAAGGGATTTTCGGCACAAACATCCCAAGAAAAAAATGGGATTTTTGGCACATCCCAACCCCCAAAAAAATGGGATTTTCGGCACAAACATCCAATTCCAACACAAGAAAAAACCGGGATTTTTGGCACATCCCAACCCAAGAAAAAAATGGGATTTTCGGCACAAACATCCCCCAAAAAAATGGGATTTTTGGCACATTTCAACCCCCAAAAAAATGGGATTTTTGGCACAAACATCCCATCCCAACCCAAGAAAAAACCGGGATTTTCAGCACAAACATTCGATCCCAAACCAAGAAAAAAATGGGATTTTGGGCAGAAACATCCCAAGAAAGAAATGGGATTTTCGGCACATCCCAACCCAAAAAAAAATGGGATTTTTGGCACAAACATCCCAAGAGAAAAATGGAATTTTCAGCACAAACATCCCAAGAAAAAAATGGGATTTTCAGCACAAACATCCCAAGAAAATGGGATTTTTGGCACAAACATCCGATTCCAACCCAAGAAAAAAAATGGGATTTTTGGCACATTCTAACCCCCCAAAAAAATGGGATTTTTAGCATAAACATCCCAAGAAAAAATGGGATTTTTGGCACATCCCAACCCAAGAAAAAAATGGGATTTTTGTCACAAACACCCCATCCCAACCCCAAAAAAAACCGGGATTTATCCCAGACCTCCACCGGCGCCGGCCTCCACTGGACCCCTCCGGTTCCGCTGACCAAGAGCTGATGAGTGACCTCCCCGTTCCCGGGACGCCGCTCCCGCTCCGCCTGAGCCTCGGCCGCCGTTTCCAAGGCAAAAACCGGGAATATCTCGCACCCGAAGGCGGGAGCCAACTGTTCCAGGGTGGCCAGGTACTTGTACATCACGTCCCGCTCCGTCAGCTTCCCCGCCGCCACCGTGTGCCGCTGGAAACGCCGCAGGAAGCGCCGGAAAACGCTCTTGAGGCGGAAACGGGTGAGGAAGTTGTGCTGGCGGATGTGGAGGCGGAAGGAACGCGGGATGCACTGGGTGAAACTGATGGAGGAAAGGAAATGGTGATGGGGGGGAAGAGGAAAATGGGGAAAAAATGGGGGAAATGGGGAAAAAACAGGGGAAAATGGGGAAAAAAATGGGGAAGA